TTAGCTATGGGTTAAATAGCTGAGTAGACTACTGGACTCTCTAACTTTGGGTGGCAACCAGTGCCTGAGAATGAAAACTTAACACTAAACCACATGAAACCGCTCTCCTATCGTTCCAACGTTGCAATTCACTCACAGATAAGAAAAGGAATCTGTGGAGGGCCATGATCGATTATGTCCTGAAGAGACGTGACATTTTTTTTATAATATTCATGCTAGTATCCTCACTTTTGTTTTCGATAAGAGACAAAATTATCCAACATTTTATTGAATTAAGCTGAAAGTACTAAGTAATCAAAGGTTTTTAACGTCAGAAAAATATTGTTCTTCCTGAATAATAAAAAAAACGTGTTCTTTGATGTTGCAAAATGAAAAACTTAAAATATTTCATTCATACGATATATTTCTGCCGTGTTTTCAAATTAAGTTTCTTTTTCTAAACTGAATATGTTACATTACAAGAAGTGTCATTCACCTAGAAGGGAACCTCAGATCTCTTTGCAAATAACAGCTCTATCTGCTGAGATCGACCCAGGATTGCTCAAAAATCCATGCTGTGAAGGAGATGGAAAATAATTTATATTATTACATTGTTAATGTTAAAGTACTGACTTTTTCCTCTCCTTATTTTAATGCGTGGGAGTTCATTGATATTACCAGTGACAAATGATTTAAAATTAGTTAAAAATGTAAATAAAACTAAAAATAAGTAAAAGACATCAAGGTCAAATGTTAAAGTTATATTTCTGATATTTTTTTTTTAATTTATGATATAATCTTTTTAGATCAACTAAATAAAAAAATATACCAAGTATGAAATGAGTTTCTGTTTAGTAGACTTTTTAGCTTTTTCTTTCATATTTTCATTGAATGATTATTACAATATAAAATCACAGTGAGCAAAAGAATAAAAAATACTATATTAACAGCAAAAACAATTGAAGAATTAAATTTATTTTATCATAATATAAAAAGTTGTTTATTTAAAAAAACAAAAAAAAAACAGCTCAAAATCTACGTCATGTGACTTACAAAGATGTGAAAAGAAAAGAAATGAAAAGGGTATCCCATTCCAATTAAATCACTACTACGACTACAGTGTGCTTGATTCATAACAATTATCCGATGAAGAAGGTATATCACTCAGTAATATTTTATAAATTTTGGCTTGCTCACTACAAAATTATACTAAATAAATTAGTGGTAGTTATGTTAGTAAGTCTAAAAATTACTAACTAGTCATATTGTCATGCTTAAGTAGGGTTTTTCCATGATTCGGAGATAAAAAAAAAATGAAGTACGATTCCGATATAGTGAGAAAACAATCTAATGATGACTTACTTTCCAAGATTAGTTCTCAGTTGTTGCTGATGATGAATGGAATAACTATTACGAGTTAAAAAAAAAAAAATGAAATAAAACTAAAAAAAAAAAAAAAACAGAAGATAATTTAGGAGGAGAATCCGCTACAATGTAATTTTTTTTTAAAATTTCGTATGATCCAGAGAAACTATTTTCCTAGTGTAAAGTAAAAAAATGTACGTCTCTAAAAACCAAAATTATACTTTAATTAAATACACGACTAATACCTGATTATTTATTTAATTACTGTTAGTGTTGTTAACTGATAAGTCCAAAAAATGGAAGGTTTTAAACTTGGAAATGTAAAAAAAAAAAAAAAAAATAAAAAATAATTGAACAAGGCAATAACAAATCAACGGTTCATGGAAATACAAGTTGTTTTGAAATTAAAAGTGAAAGTAAAAAAAGATTACACAACAAGCCATTTCCCAGCTATTTTTATAAGTACTTAGTTCTCTCGTATAAACCATGCTCCCTCTTGTTGTGAGAACTCCCAACATAAGTTTACCGTTAAATGGTTAAAATAAAATGAATACAAAAAAATAAATAAAAAAAAATAGAAAAGAATTTATTTCTACAAATGAAAATGAAACCGTTTCCCTTGTGACAACAGCAAGTTATTTTTTTACGGCAAAAAAAATTAAACACGGCAGAACTATCCCTGGATAATGTATAACTGTACGTACACTGTCACTGTAGTGTACAGTATTATTGTACATAAAGTACCGGTTTGTCTTTAAACTCATGATTCGTAATTTCACGATATGTTCACCTTTTAACGATCAAGTTATCAAAGTTTTAATTTAAAAGTAGATTTGCAATGTGATACATTGGAAAAATTTTTTTTTAAATCGACCTCTTTTCTTAGGAAAGTTATTTGTCATAGACGACTGTACTCTCGCTCAGATAAAAACTAAAAGAAAGAAAAATAACGAAAGAAAAAAGCCGACTCAGATAATTTAAACAACCACTTCCACAATCTTTTAAAATTATTATACAACTAGGGGCTCCCCACCTCCACAAGCCGAAAGTCATTCCTGGTTTCTAAGGAAATTAGAATCAGTGATGAAGAACTCGCATTTGGCATCATCTCATTCATTAACATTTACAACAATCCGAGAAGGGGAAGTTGGGGAAATACCTCGAATGAATTGCGATGACGAAATAGACCTCAAAGTTCAGACTAGTAGAGGGATTGTCTTCCTACCTCTCGTCTCTGTCTCTTTCTTTCTCTCGAATTTATTAAATCATTCTTAATGTCAAATATCGTCTTATGTATCTAAAAATAAATAAACAAACAAATTCTTAGTCTTCACACTTGCAGAGATTTGGGAGTCGGGGCGGGAGACGACAGAACTTCAACATTTTTTTATTTTTTTTTTATTTATGTAAAAATAAAATAAAATTTTAAAAGCTTGGAATTAAAATAGAAGTACACATATAGCAACAAACTAGTAATTTTAAATTTTAATTTATTAGGTTTAACAAATAAATTGAATAAGAATAATAAATTAAAACTAAAAGCGAACGTAATTTTTGAATTTCCATTCCAAGAAAAATAAAAAAAAAATGATTCGTAATCCGGGAGTAAATTTAAATGTTCCTTGTATTTTTCTTTCTAAATCTTAAAGACCAATAAAATGAAAAATAAATTGTTTACTGCCAGAAGTACAGCAACACTTTTCTCTGGTTTTACTTTTACGTTTATTGTAAAAGTAAACTAATAAGTAAATGAAAGGTTGACCACATTTTCAGAGAATATCCTCGCTAAAAACATGAGGTGTTCTTAGAATTCACTTAATCACGAAAAGCCAATTAGTTTATTTATTATCTCTAAGGATTCATTAAAATAGCAGAGTGGAGAGTAAATATACTGTATAAAAATGATTAGCAGTATGGACCGACTGAATGCAGTTTCCGAAAGAAATCTGCCCACCTGAAGTGATTCTATTGGTATCCTCCCATGTTTCGAGAAACTACACGTTACCAATAAACCAACCAAAACTGGTATTAATAAAATATTTTAATTTATTTATAGTTTTTAATGTTTTCAGTGGGTGTAAATGGGAAAATCCGAGTCGGGAATCTCACCATTTTCTAGTGTCTATATATTTTTTCTTTATTTTTGTTTCCCAGATTTACTTTTGATTTATTTAAATTTATTTAATCAATCAATAATTATTTAATAACGACAGCTACAGATTTTAGAGGACAATAATACATTTTTTTTTGTATTTTTATTAAATAGTAGTATTTTTCCTCATCATAGGAGTTAAAAAACTAAAACTAAAAGTATTCAACAATTTTGTTTTAAAGCAAAAATGTAAAGTTTCTTTTACGTCAAAAATAAAAGAGGGAAATGTTTTTTCTATTATAAACCGAACAACAGTTAAAAAAACAACAATAAAAAATAAAACATCCCTCGATCTTCGAAGATTCAATTTCCCCCCCCCCCATTTATCTACAATTAAACAAAAAAAAAAACACTACAGGACAGACAGAGCGAGGAACGAAAGATTCATAGAAGATAAAAAAATTAAATATAACTTTAAAAAAATAATCCAAAACAGAGCTAAAAAAAAAAAAAATAAATAAATAATCATCTTCAGAACAGAGTCACTTACGATAACATGAACACGTGACCATACCAAAATAATTAAAGATGTTTTATCATTTTTTAATTACATGTTTTAGAATAATTTTGAAATTCGGGATAGTACCCGATTTAGTTTTCGTCGTCGGATGAATTAAGTTATATCTTTAAGTTTTAAAATTATCAGGTAAAAATCTGAAAGCAATATCAAAGCTTTTGTGGTAAAGGTAAAAATGCAATTATAAAAAAAAAAGAAGTGATCAAACAATAGCTTTTTATTTTATAAACTTAGATAAATAAAAACCGAATTTGAAAAAGTACCTGTTTTTATAAAGTTAGCATTATTATTATTATTTATTACTATTAGCAACGTAAATAATTAGACGAGTATGAAATATTATAAACAATAATAAATAAAAAGAGAAAGAATTTAAAAGACATTGTGATGGAGATTTAAAAAAAAAAAAAAAGGAATCAAATTTTTCAGATATCTGCCATTATTTTAAATTTTTAATTTTAATAAAATCATCCCGAAAAGAAATAAAAAAAATATCAAATCCGCTGACGGTTTATTACTACGGGTGACCAAAAACGTAATAACTAACAGAGAAATTAAAAAAAAAAAAAAAAAATAGATGTCTTTCTGTTATCATCTTAAAAAAATAATAAGACAGTCTTAAGAAACTATAAAATACAAGCCAACATGACCTTGATTTTTGTAGCAATCAATTACAAAATTAAATAAACGGAAGGTGTAGGGAGAGACGGAGCGAGAGAAGGATGAAGCAAGCATTGATTACCAATGTTCATCCATAGACAAAAAAAGTGGGTCATAAAAGATTCCTATTTTGTGCATGCTTTTTTTTTCTTGTAACTTATTATCTACGAAGTCAAAAACGATTGTTATGGTTGGTGTAAGGAAGACCATTTAGAAAATAAGAAATAATAAAAAAAAACACCCTAAATGAGGAAAACATCGCGGGTTATCCCCGAAACACCGACCACGAACCAAGAGGGGATCAAATAAATAATTTATCCGACTTACTTTTGCGGCAACAACTTGACGATGAGGCAATTGACGGCCGTAGTGATTAATGAGTGGAGAATGTGCAGACGACATATGAGCACAGCCATGGCAGCACCCACCACTCCAGTGAGAGCCTGCTTGCCGGCCGCGCTCTTTGTCACCTTTACCACATGCCCGAATGGGATGGACAACAGCAGCAGACTCACATAGACGATATCATCGACCGGCATACTCATTTTCGCGGCCGTTACATCAGGTCTTCCCCTTTGGTGGATTCTTAAAAGCGCACACTGGCCTAGCCCCGTACATACATGCCCTTGCGTAAAGAAGTAACTGAAAATGCGGCCAATAGCAGCAGTAGCAGTAGCTTTTTTACGTCACTTCCGATCAGTGGCATTCAGCTTCCGGTTCTTACTTTTTTCGCGCCAATCTGAAAAATGCAGGTTTTAAATTGTGGGTCACTTTGCTGTTGGATAATGGTTTATAAACTGATTTTGGTAATCATTATATTTGCATAGTGAGTACAGCCCTCAATGAATGCCTCATAATTGTGTCTAAACAAATGTACACTTAATAAATAACTATGTGGCATACTCTTGATGTGGAACAGTGACTTGTAGGCTAATCACAAAAATGAGTTTGATCTTCACCAGGTGCTATACACTTGTACCATGCTAGGTTTAGTAATCCACATATATAAAACATTCATGGCACTATAGTGGGGACTAGGGAGGTGAGGGGTAGGGGAGTTTCAGCTTCCTCATTTTTTATTGGAACTGCAAACTAAGCAGAACTTTCTCTCAAGAAACCTCAGTCTATGACAATGCTATTATTTACGACAATTGTTATTATTTATGCTGTATTATTTGTCTGAAACTATTGCTGCTATTAATTACCTGGTACAGGAGATAACTTTTGGTCAGAACTGTAGTAAAAGGTTTTCATTTTAGATGAGATAAGTCACCCAGTCCTGGGGATTACAATTCTGCAGCAGTATCTCACTCATTACACTAAGAGAGGTGGAGTAGGTATAATATCGATGCCACCATAACAGTGATCACAGGGACTGGGCAATTTTTGTCCTTAGCAGAAGTGGGGAGCAGAGTATGTGACCACCCCATGTATACATATCAAGAGAACATCCAATCAAAGAGTGAAATAAAAATTTAGGTTTAGTTTATATTTAATTTGAATAAAGTGTTTATTTCATGTTTTATCATATTTAAAATATCTTCCTTTCTTACATTTCTCATTACTAGTACCCCCCCCCTTGAGTCTTAAGGGCATACAATCAAGGATTTGGCCCCAGGTATCATCAGACATTACCAAATCTCTGCATGTCACTGCCCATATACATATATATGAGTACAGTCTCACATAAAACCGGCTTTGCATCAAATCCTGCCTTAGCTGGTAGGCCAGGTAAATATATACTAACATTAATTTTCAGATTAAATAATAAAGCTTTATGTTCCTTTTTATCTTTTTTTTTCTGAAACATTAGACTTCTAAAACTTACATATGAGACCTATAGAATTTGTCCACATATGTGCAAAATGGCTATAGGTCTCATTCCTGAAAATAAATACAAACATCTTAAATACAAAAATTTGTATTTAAACTCAAAACAAAACAAATGCTTACAGTAAGATAATGGATCTAAAAATATTCATTTTATGAGAAAAAAATTTAGAGTCAAGAATTTTTGAAACTTAACATCTGACTTAGCCCCTTCCCATTTTAACATCTGACTTAACCCACTCATTTTAACACCTGATTTAGTCCCCCTCTCCATTTTAACATATGATTTAGTCCCACCTCCATTTTAACATCTTACATACTCTTTTTATTTTTTTTACTAATATTCACCCAATACAAGGCCTAAGAGACACTCAAGTTAGAGGGTTACTGTGTGAAGTTATATCAGCATAGAAAAAAAAGCCAGCATTAGGAATATTGAGCTGAAATTGACTTTAGTAGGAACTGGAAACCCTTACCATTTTAACATCTGACTTAGCACCCACCTGATTTTAATATCTGATTTAGGTCCCATTTTAACATCTTATTTAGCTCCTCCCCCACTCCCACTTTAACATCTAATTCAGCCTCCCTGACATTTTATTTTGTGGGACTATGCCTGTAAAATGAAACATGTATCTTTGTGTGTGCATGTAACAATTTTTTTGCAAAGAGAAGGCCTGGGAGCAACACTTTAAACCTGATTTTGGCTTAAAGTGCTGATCAAATAAATAATCCACCATTTTTTTTTTGTTGGTACTATACTTGTTATCAATAATATATATTAGTATACTTTACGTTATATTTTACTCTTACTGGATGATAAATAAAATAATACCAATACAAGTTGTTAATAAGTGAAATTGCGACTGAAGTGAATTCTACTTACACTAGATATACCACACATGATCTTATACTAAGCTTAGTAATTATCATGTTTATCTATGAATATATAAATCTTATATCACATTTCACTATTCTAAGGTCACAAAAAATATCATCTCTCCATGTAACAATGGTTAAGAAGCCAATTTTATTTACTCACATTATTTATAGTCAGTCTAATGTTCATATTATCACAACATTTCAGCCATTATGCCCTCTGCACTTCTTCAGGTGTCTGTCAATCCAGGTAACCTTCAGGGAATTTTCAACTGAACCCATTATTTAACCTACAAGGATAGATTGTTCTTGTTCAACTATGTCTAAGGATATCTTGTCTTGGTTTCTGAACGAAAACAATCAACCCCCATAAATCAAATAAAGAATTCAGTTCCAAATTCCCTGAAGGTTAGTAAGATTGACAAATGCCTAAAGAAGGTCAGAGAGCAGAATGGCCAAAATGTTATGATGATAACAGATAATAACAACAAAGGCAAGAAGTTAACCCCCTCATCCCAGAGATTTAGATGAGCTAGTTTTGCTGATAATTACTACTGTAGTGAGGTTCATCTTCACTTGGTACCCCACCTTTGTAGCCTTGTGGCAGATTAAACTAAGCTTAGGAAGTATTTATTTCATGACAAACTTATCTTGAGTATGAAGGCATATACCTGGCACTATTCAAAAGAATAAAAGAAAATGAGGTCCTACTTTCCTGGTTGAATGATTTTGAGAAATGTGTACAATGTTTGGTGAGACATGGGAAACACTGGGTAACTTAACAGATAAATAGATTAATCAAGCTATTAAATTTCCCAAAACTTTTGGGTAACACCGTGTAGAAAAACAAATATCTATATATGTATACACATTATATATACACTTCTCTCCATTAATCATCTGAGAAATCCCTCTCTGCCTTCCATCTGTATGGCTGATGCTAACCTCCAGGAAAGTGACTTGTTGCACCTTTTTGGGGCTAACGTTCTCAGTTGACATGAAGTGGAAAGCCTATATTGAATACATTGCTAGGTCAGCTGCTAAGAGATTTGGTTTACTGTGTGATGTGAGACAATTTTTCTCTCCAGAATCTACATCTCTATAAGTTTACCATTCATCCATGTTTAGAATATTGCTGCTGCATATGGTCTGGTGCCCCTGCTTGAGCTCTTTGTTAGAGATACAAAGAAGAATCTGCAATATTATTGGTCCTGATCTGGCAGCTCGGCTTCAGTCACTTTCCCACCGCCATAAAATTGCCTCACTTTTCTATAAATATTTTCATGGCAACTGTTCAGATGAGCTCTCACTATGGTGCTAGTTTTTAAATTGTTGTTTTATTCCCCTCCCTCCCACAGACAATGAATAGTACATATGGAGACTAGTTAGGATTTTCATAGAGACAATGAGGTATTATGGTGGATGTAGTAAGAAAATGTGTTGTTTTGGTGTTAGGAATATTGTGGTATGTTTCGGTAAGTGTTTGTTGCTAGCTAAGTTTAAATTTAAGACAGGAGAAGACCGTTCTTTTTCCCATTCTTCTTTTTTGGCCTTGTTCCACATTTTCTGTATTTGAAGCGAAAATAAATATTGCTCTTCACAATGGTGCCTAGACTTTATGGGTTTAAGCACAATATTAGATTGACATCAAGATCTCATCAATTTACAGCTGAGCTGGTTGGATGTAGCTGTAAGTTGTATGCTAACAGTTTCTTTTCTTGCACTTCTCCCTTCCAGCACCATGCTTTCCAATAAACTTTAGTCTGCAAAAATTTAAATGCAATGTCAATTGCTATCTACTGTTCTCCTGATTACTCTTTTCTCTTTCCACTCATTATTAATGCTTCTGTTTCTAATTCTTGTTCTGTTCATCAATTTTGCTTTCACTTTACACTCACTCTTTATCTTTCTCTCTTTCCTCTTTTCTTTCAATTGTTAACATTTGACTTCCTGTTTTCTTGTCATGTTGTCATAGTAAATTTTTGAGTGTTCTAGTCTTTTCTTGAGTTAGCAAAATTGTATTTTATTTTTTTACAAAAATAATTAATTTAAATAATTAATTTCAATGTTTAGGATAGATAGATAGTCAATAAATTAATAAAAGTTCCATCAATTTATCTCTCAAGTGACTTACTGCTCACTAGGGTCAGCTAAATCTGAAGTTGGTCAAAAGATGTCAAATGAACTTTTATTAATTTATTGATTATTGTCCTCCTAGTTCTCTTTTGAGCACTTTCTTGATGAAAATTCTGCTCACCTTGAAATATAATAAACTCTTGTAATTTTATGCATTTTGATAGGTGTTATTGACTTGTATTATTATTAGATAGATAATTTGTATTATTATTATTAGATTCTGACCACTTATTAAATTATAATAAATTATTATTAGATTATGAAAAAAATAACTTGATCTGAAGATTGCATTAAGGCATGAAATTGACAGTCATCATGTAGTGTTGATTCCTATGTCCACACAGTCTATATTTACAAATGTACTGTTACTAATATTGAGCATTCTTTCTTCATAAATATAGCAATTTTTAACAGTATAAACACACACACACATATATATATTTAAAAATAAAGCACTGGAAGGTCAGTTGATAAAAATTGCCTGAAGATGCCATAAGATTGAAACCAAGGTAGCAAAATCAACTGATCTCCTAATTTTTAAAGTTAAAACGTCTACATATTATTTTCTATTTAATACTACTGTTTCATGGTCCAATTCAACACTGACCCATAACCTTTTATGTATTATATATATATATATATATATATATATATACCAAGTAATTGAGAAAGAAATTATAATAGAAAGTAAAACAAAAATATTCACTATAAAAAAATCAGTATATATATTTTTTAATTGTCTATGTTCAATGTAGAAGAACAGAAAAATGTTATTCAATAAAACCACCCTCAGCCACAAGGATGACCTTAGTGCAGCCTTAAAAGTAACTGATTGCTTGGATCAGGTTTTTTTTCATACTATAATGACAGCCTTTAACAATTCTTTGATATTTGTAGCCACTGGTTGGTCTCCTTCTTGACATCATTCCAGTGAATACCTGGGATTACTATATCAGGTTAGCTAGGAGACAATATTTTGGGAATGACATGATCATGAAAATTTTCAGCTAACCACTCCTTGCTCATGTGAGCAATGTGGTAAGGAATAAGCTCCTGTTGGAACATATATAGACATCTTTTCAGTCCAAAGCTTGATTATCATGTCCAACATCTTGAAGGCAATGTTATTGACCCTCTGTGAGAAGAAATGTCATTGCGGCTTGGTGAAAAGAAATTAGGCAACATGACATGGTCCTAATTGTTCATGATTCCATCAGAGACAACATGAACTTTTGATGTGTCTTACCATCGTTACCTCCATAGTGTCCTCACAGAGCTATCTGTCATTCTTCCTGGACATTTGGCTACTTTCAAGAAACTGGCTAGCTTCAAGTCACAGTTATTGGCAGTTACTGCTTCATGCATGACATCTTTGCATTTCTTGTGTCAGATTGGAAACTTCCATGAAAATGCTCTTGATATGTCGGAAATTGAAATGAAAATGTTAAAATTTGGTTTATGCCATGTAACATTATGTTAGGTTATCTTCCATTTATGGCCCACAAAAGAGTGTTCTCAAATATCTGCTGCTTCATGTATATATACAAAGGGAGGGGTGCTGAAAAACCATTGGTTTGACTGACTTCCCCAAAAACTAAAGAAATGACAAGAGATCAAAAGTCTTTTTGGAAGAGTTTCTTAGTTGAGCTGAGAATATTTCAGTACCCTTATATATATATATATATACAATAACGATATATAGATTTTTATATATCAAGAGCAATATTGGATGAAAACAATACATCAGATGCATTAGTTGCTCACCATAATGAGACTGACCACAATTTTGATATAAAAATGCGACTCTGATCAGAGGAGAAAACAATTCACTAAGAAGAAAATCTTTCAGAGAGTGCCTTGATAACAAGGTCATCCACAGTAAATTTGTGCCCTGGCATTTACAGCATTTCACCATTCTTGGCAGATCTTCCATTATCACAGTGAGGGATATCTGATAACAAAAGTGATGGAAACAAAAAGAAAAAGAATCTAAATGAAATTGGCTAGATTATTTATATAAATTTTTTTTTCAACTGAAATATAAAAAAAAATTAGAAATTCACAACACCCCTCATTTGTGTAAATGTACAGTTGCACCAACATAACAAATTTATTCCCATGAAGTCCCAAATGACAAAACATGTCACACAAAAACTTTTTCTATTTTATCAAACATTTCCTCCCCCCCCAAAAAAATATGTGTGTGTGTGTGTGTGTGTGTGTGTGTGTGTGTGTGTGTGTGTGTGTGTGTGTGTGAAAAGTGTGTATATATATATATATATATATATATTTATATATTATATGCGCGATATTTATTAGAAAGTGCTCAATATCAGAGATAGAGCTAACATAACCAATAAGGATTACAAACCAAAATTTCTACCAGTTACATATACACAGTCATCAAAAACAAGCAAATAACCAGCTTTAAAATAATAACAAATAAAAATTAAAAATAAAAATAATAATAATTTTTACCTATCATAATTTTACACAGACCCCACCACATGTATATACGTGTATGCGAGGAAATATTATTCAGCAAAAAAATAGAAAAATGCTCTGATTGCTGACATATATACATTCACGAGACATTCACGAGAAAATTTTGCTACACTTCCAATCTTTGAATTTCAACATACAAATGCGTATGTATAGACGCAACACCACCCATATACATACATATGTCAAACCCCAAACTGTCCACATATGTTTATATATGTATGAGTCCCGACGGACGAGCAAGTGTGTATGTGTGTTTGCATACCTCATCGGGTGTACTGACATGCATCTATGTTTGCGTTAGCACGATGACATCACAACGATGATTCCCCCCACTTCCATAATAACACCAATACACGCAATCTACATAAACCCAAATTTTAAAAAAATTAATCAGTTTGTCTGATGATCGCAAAAGCGTGAAACCCAGGGTCACAAACTCACATCAATCCAACCAAATATATATATATATATATATATATATATATATATATATATATATATATTCTTAGTTCCATTTATATTCTGGGATTTCTTCCTAGCAAATAAGATAGACCACTTTTTGGTCTCATCCACCATATTTTTGTTCTTTCTTGTCTTGAAGTCAGAAGGTGTGATCACTTGTCTGTATCCCTTTTGTGTGTTAACACTGTTCTTAGATTGTGAACTTTTTTGCCTCATTACTCTTGCTTTGCCTACTTTTGTTTTGCCTTTACTGTTTGCTTAGTACTATTTTTGCTCTGTGTTTTTTCTTTTTCATGTATTGCAAATTTTGTCAGTTCTGATTGTTGGGAATTTCTGCCAATTATACACAAACACACATTAGTCAATATACATAATATCAAACGTCATTAGCACAACTCAGAGTTTCATGAAATTCTTGCAATCTTCATGTGTGGAACATGATCTGACCATTATAGAGTTCACGTTCTCATAGTGATGATTCAAAATTGTGTTAAAACTTGTTTATTATTGTTGTCTAAAATACTAGAATTAATTATTAATAATTTATATCATTCAAATTCTTAAGTTCAAGAGGCAAAGTATTAAAAAAAATTATTTAAATTTGAATTCAAAAGTAAACAAGATGTCAATAGAGGATAACTCATTTTTTCATAAAATACCATAGTTATACCAATAAACTTAAACTAGTATTCAGGATGTAAATATATCTTAATATTCATAATTAAATATCATTCTTTTTCAAACAGCAGAACAGTGATAAATGAATATATCATTTGCTTGTACCTTTGAATCATGGCAGGATTCACTTAATTTTATATACCTGTTTGTTTTAGCATGACCACTTATGGAAAACCCACAAACAAAAAAACTGACATGGACTTTTATGAAACAAAAAAACATAACAGCCATGCATACAAACAAGCAAAATAATAATATAGAACTTTATTACATTTATAATTTATTTTATCTTGTCAGCTTAGTTCAAGTTGAATGAGCCATAATTTGTCAATAAATGAATCTATGGAACCAATTGGTAACATCAAATAATGTGTATGTCAGTGTATATGTATATTAGCCTGAAATATTAATGGACTGGTCATATCTGATTTTGACTTATGTCTTCACTTTCCAAATCAAATCACATTTACCAAGTAATATCTGAGAATTGCTATATGATTGGCTAATTAAAATATAATTATTGTTAAGGTTTCATCATGACAAAAATATTACATTGACTAATAAAGAATTTCCGTTTTTATTTATCAAGATCATTCATGAAAAAATGTTACAGTTACATTTTATTCAATTATATATTCACCATTATTTGCAATGACTTGTCACTCATCAGGCAGCTCTTTCATACCTTTTCAGTAATATTCCACAGGTTTTGATGTGAAAAAGATTTTCAATGAACTCTTGAATTTGGTTTTCATTAGAGAAAATCTTTCTCATCAAAGCATTTTGCAATAATTGAAATCAGTTTGTGCTTGGTCAGGTGAATATGGTGGGTGGAGTGAAACGAAAAATTATTTTTCTATGTTATTCTTGCTTTATGTGAGATCAATTTGTCATCAATTGATTGATTTTTTTTTTTTTACAGCTTATCAACCTTTTTCAGGTTATTTAGAACCAGAAAATATTTTTAGATTGCAAGAAAACTTTTTGGACATAATAATGATTTACCAATACAAGTCCTACTAATTAACTCATAGCTGGAGGGAGAAGAGGTGGATTCATACCTTTCCCATGGGTATTTACAAATAAGTAAATATAATGAACCCAACTGAAATTAGGACTTGATTCTCCGATTTCCAATTTTGAGCCATTATCCATTACACTACCGACACATCCAAACTTACAGCATGTGTTATTCCTAAGCAGTCACTCATCTAGGTGCTGACCAGGCTCAATGTTGCTTAACTTCAGTGATTATATGGGAACCGATGTTTCAACATGATATGACCATAAGTCCGCTTTGTCATGGTAAAGAACAAAATTTTTCCTATTGATGAGTGTAGGGCATTTTTTGACAAAATTTTCTCGGCATGTTGCAGCTGCTGGACATATAAATGTGCATTTAGTGTTTCTTTATATTTAAAGAACTCTAATATCCTGACAATCCCAACATATACACAACATTACCATTCTTCCATGGAGCTCAGCTTTTATTAACGTTTCAACAGAGAATGGGATAAGGAAAAAAAATTTTCATTTTTGTGTTGTTTGATTTTCACTGATTATGCATTTGACTAGTCAAGCAGTGTTTGTGTGTATAATTTATGTTTATCATTGTGTGTATAATTTATGTTTATCATAATTCTAGTTTGCCTATGTAGGATTCAGATTATAATATGTGTATATCTAGTAAGCATTATTTATGTCTGAAGGTTGGCTGCATGTTGCTTTGGGGACATATCCAAATCAACATGCAGACAACCAAAGCTGGTTGTTAACTATACATTAGATTCATTAGGAATTGATTTAATAAAGGTTGGTGATATAGTGTTTTTGATGTGTGTTTATAGTTGGTAAAATTTGTTGCAGAACTCCTTTGAAGTATTTTCAATATAAAGAATTATGTCCTTTTTTAATTAGGGTGACAATTGTAAAATCAAAGTTATGGCCAGTCTTATTCCCATGTATTACAAGTGAGATTAAATGGTTGTCCAACATAAATCTCTCTTGTATTCACATATGTGGGCCTTTAGGCTTCAATATGTCTCTCCAGTGTAATTATATTTACATTGCAAGTACTTTATCTGATAAATACTAGCATTCGAAGTGGTTCTGGATCTATTTTTCTTCCTAATTATATCTCCAATTGTCTTGGAGGTGGTGGTAATGATCGTTGTATAACTAATTTATTTTCAAATTTTGTAGATAGAACGTTGGAGGTTAGGATTATGAATTTTGTATTGTTGATATTAAAAGTACTGTCAGCAGTATCTATCTATCTATCTATGTATCTAAATTAATTTTCTGAGTTTAATGTTATTGTCGGGGAGTTATACTTCCGAATAAATAATTATAAACCCCCAACATTTATATATACAAAAATACTCATAAAAATGAGAAACAGCAAGATGTGAAAATAACAAAACAAGTAATATTATCTGGTTCTTATGTGGTCTTGGAGAAATGAGAGACAGTAATACTGAGTAAAATTGTAAGTTTGGGATCAAATGTAGATCAAATACTGAAAACTAACAGAAGGATAAGTTAAAGAATAAGCAAAGTGTATATAGTCTTTTTCATAAGTTTTTTTTTCATAGATGGGAGTAATAAGTGTCCAGATAATTTAGTTAGAAAATACAAGAAATTTCTAGAGTTTTCTCACTTCAAACTTTTGTTGAGTGCTAAAAGATAAATGTTACTATTATGTCCTGAAAAAGGAAAAGGAGATGAAATTTTCATTCACACGCATTTTGACAATCTGTCTGCGTGAACTACTTGTTTGATAGTGAGAATGTTGCATGTTTGTGTGTGTATAGGAGAAAAGTGGGTTTGATTCTCATTTATTTAGAATGAGTGAATTAATGACAATTATAATTATTTTTGACACTATAATTAATTTTTATTTATTTTTTATGTAGACAAAACTGTGACAGTATAATTAATTTTTTATTTATGTATTTCTTTCTGGACACTATGCTTTGCAAATAGAACTGGGCTTGATAACATTTTTTGACCAACACCATGGAAAAGTCTGTTACTTGGGGGTTGCAGCAATCTTATGTGTTAATCTCTCTCCACACTTCCTTTTCTTTCAAGCCTAACTTAATTTACTCATTTGGTCTATTACTTTCATAATTGCAAATTTATATATTAATATGTTTATAATAGTCTTATTCTGGCAGACAGCTACCATCAACAGCTGGAACCTGCCTATTATTTGGGGTCAAAATACTGATACAGTTTTAGTGTGTGGTTAATGTAGAAGTGTTTGCAGGCTTTATCTGATCATGGACTGTGATAGATGAATGAATAAGGACATGCATTGTGGTATATAATTACATAGAGATATACATAGATCTCATACATCTGCAGCCATACAACACATGGCAATAAAACAGGAAACTAAAAAAAAGTGACAGACTGTATACTGAATAACATCCTGTGAATTATTGTTTAGCGCAACACAAGACCCAAATAGAGGAAAATAGGAGATATGATGATCGAGTTTCATCAAGCTTTTATTACAGAATACCCAAGCTAGAAGATTACTTATTACTCCCTAATGAAATGATTTTTTTTTTACTAAAGCTCAACAATAAAGGTTCAAGAGCCACTCAAGATAGAGAGTTACAAAATGAAGTATGAGATATGAATGTAAGAGGAAGCAGAAAGAAGTGAAGATTGTATGATTGATAACGATTGACCTGTGACTTAAAGAGGACAATTTTCTAGTGTTTAAGGAAGCATCTACACAAGAGTCTGTTCTACAAAGTAACAGTTCTTGAGGAAATACTGTCTGAGTGGAACTTTACAATTGGAATATGGAGGAGATGTTGCTGATTCAACTCTTTGGATGTAACATAGATTCACCACTTCTAAATTTACATTTAAAATCCTAGCTTTTAGTGGGCCTGAACACTAACCAGTACTACTAATTGGAACTATACAACTCTGTACTGAAGTAACCATATACACTAGAGAAGAGTTCAAGACATTTGTAATAACAGTAAAATTATTCCTGGGCACTAAAGATGAGTTGTTCTCCTTAATGAAAAAGTTATAAAGAAATTGGCTCTACATAAGTTTTATACCAAAATGAAATAAATGAAATGTATAAATAAGAATTATCTATTTTAAAATCTTATTTGTCAATTAAAATTGTTAACAATGTTTAAACATTGTGCCTGCAAAAAAAAAATAGTGTTTCAAAAGGACAGTTATTCCCTTGACACCACTATTACTGTATACACATTTGACTCTCTTGGCAATATTTAATGTTTTAAAGAGTGATGATTAGAATTTTAATAAAACCCAAATATATAAAAGTGGATTTATACCTTTTCTTTATTCTTGAGAACTGACAGTAAAATATTAAACATTATTTATTAGATTGCTTATTTGCAAGAAAAATGTACAAGATTATAAAAATATGTCAACTAACTATAATGAAATATTTATTGTTCACCATTTTATAATGAAATAAATATGAAAAGAATTTTTTTTTATTTATAAATTTATAAAAATGTCTGTTAAGAAGAAAATTTAAATAAACACATGATGATGAGTAACTGTAATTATAAATTTGGAAAATATGCACTTTCCAAGCATTTTTTCATTTGCTCTTGCCACATAAATTTGCTAAAATACATTGAGAGTATCTCTTCATTTGAACCAAACATTGTTTTAATTTATATTTATTTCATATGTATATTTAAATTTTCTGCTTCTATAGTTACTTATAAAATGGTAAATACTAAATATCACATTGTAACTTGTTCACATATTTTGATAATTTTGTAATTTTTTAATAAAAAGATTTCTTTTCAAATTTATTTCTTTATAAAACAGTAAAAAATAAATCTTTATAAAAGGTAAATAATAAATATTGCATTGTACTTACTTTACATATTCTTATAATCTTGTAAACAAACATTGCTGAAAAAGTCAAAAGAATGTACAGTAATAGGAATAATTGTCCTTTTGACACACTGTTTTTTGGACAATTTGTTTTCATTATTCATGTTTGTCAAGTCTCATTTTCATTAACAACAGTTAACAGCAATTAGTAGCATAAAAGAAAAACAAAATAGATCTAATTTGTTTTTGATGAGTTTCCAATGAAACTGTGCAAAATAGAAAATATATTTGGGGAGAAAAATTCTTCTGTGATATTGCTTTTTCAAAGCACAGAAATCTTTTTCTTTTCCAGGAATTAATAATAAAAGATAAATTTTAGTCTTATACCAAATAGTTAAAAATGATAATTGTTACATTTAAAGTTAAAACTATACAGCATAATATAATAATTAAATACTTTTTCCCCATGAAAACCAATAAGCAGTAATTCTCAAGAGTGCTGCTATTGAATCTTATAAAAATATAAATCTGCACTTCTGGTTTTTTCCAATATCTCTATTCTTGAAAGAATTACTACTTTTGCAAGCTAAGATACATGACTACAAAAATGTTAAAAAATTAAAAGAAAAAGATTAAATCCTTAACATTATGTTATTCAAAATATATAAGACATAAATTAAAATAATTTAAATATTAATTTGCATAAAAAATTTTCAAAAACATCACTTACTCACTTTTTTATTAGATATTGAACTGTGGCATATCATGTCAGCCATAGCTTGCCTGATTTTTTATCTAACCTGATGAATATTTATGAGTGTTGCTAAACTTAAAATTTTGAAATACCAATAACATTTTTTTGTATATAAATACAAGAGCAAAATAAAATCTTTGCATTTGCCTTGATAAAGTCATTCAGAGGATAAAACATGTCAGTTAAAATAAGTTTTCCTTTTGTCTTTATTCATATTATCCTTTTACAGACATACTGTATCTAAAATTTTTACACAGACACACACACCACATACATACATACACACACACACATATATATATATATATATATATATAAAACATCTTTTGGTCTACAAACAATTATTTCGTCTTCAAGTTTTAACTTTAAAGGAAAAAAATTACAGCCTGATGATGAAGACATGGATCTTCGAAAGTACTTGCTTAACTTAAAAAAAATACACTAGAAATATCTGACAACAGTTTTATAAATGAGGATCATATCATTCAATGGATTAACAGTATTTTAATGAATACACTATGTTCTACTAGCGAAGTGATTTTACCATTAATCGCACTAATATTGCTGATTGATTCTATGCATGATTATTTATATATATATATATATATATATATAACTATTAACAGGCCCAAAAGACAAAAATAGAGCAATACATATCCTCAAATGAACTTCTGTCAAGAA